GAACCGACGGATAGACGGTTGGACGGACCGACAGACATCTACTCAAATTACCAGCTGAATTTTTTCGTCTGTCTTTCGGCTGTTGCTGGAAGGATCCCTGGGTTCACTCGGAAGAGAGAGAGAGCCATAACTTCGGTGGCATTATCATCGTCAACTTTATTATGTTCCTTCCTCGCCCTCGCCCTCGTCTGCTTTCTGCCCCCCTCCACTGTCCTTTATCTGCATAATAATCTTGCCAAACCACTGACATAATCATCTCTGTCCAGGCCAGCAGCCAGACTTCGGCGAGAGGCTTAGACGGTAGTAAAATAGCTGAAATTATGATGAGAATAGGCTCGTACAAAAGCGGCTAACACATTCCTGGAGGAAAGCTCTTAAAGCGGAAAATGTGATCAGATTATAGCCCGTCGGGGATACCTGATTAAAGCCAGTACTCAAAGAGCACTACTCGGAGTGCAGGAATATATTTTATAGGTTATATAAACTTTAAGATATTATTTGTATCATAGAGTTGCGGCAAGTGCGTCGCTCCAAACGCTTCCATTTGTTCGGGGCAGTGCTGTAACAGAGCCCTGGTTAACAGCCTGTTACCGCTATCGTTAACAGCCAGTGGCCGTTCCCTGTTACAGCGAACTGTAATGTAAACACTCTTTAACAGCGCTCGCTCTCACGATGCACACGGCTCTTGATAAAGTGATTATTTTCAATATACATAGATATACTAGTTCCTAACCAATAGAGTCTATGAAATCGATCCAAGTCTTGGGTATACTTCTTTACTGGTAAGAGTACTATTTCTGACAGCTGTTCATCCATCAGCAAAGGCTACCGGGGGGGGAATACTCTGCTCTCCTGCCCTGCATCTTCGGATCAGCCAGACGCCTTTCTTGGTTCTGCTCTACTCTTTTCAATTAATGCTCGGCTAAACCTTTGAAGAGTGAGCCAAAAAAACCGAGGAAAACCAACCAGAGCAAGCAGAGGAAAAACCCTTTTGGCTGTGGTCCGCGGTGGCAGTGTCAGAGTCAAAGTCAGGGACTTTGTTGAATTAGTGGCAATTAATCACGGCGACATGTGTGGATGGGTAGGCTGGAATGTGGCATGCTGAAAGCCGAAGCTCTGAATGCGGCATTTACTTGCCGCACTCGAGCGTGCCGCCAAACGGTCAAAGTTCCGGGAATCAACCTCCCATCCGTCCTCATCCACCGACTGGGCGCTGTGCCAGTTGTTGCTCCTATTTGTTTGAAGAGAGAGAGAGAGAGAGAGAAAGAGAGAGATGGCATTCATGCAGGTGTACACAACTATGTCTATAAGAATTCCCTGGATTCCTGCTGGAAGTCGATGAATCAGAGGTACTATCATTATTTTAGCTGCGATTAATATTAACAAATCTCTGGTAGAGAAAGAAGGTCCGATTCGCCAGCAAGGTCCGTCCATTATTTGGAATACTCGTAGAAGGATGTGTCTTGTACAGATCCGCCACAAACTTCGCAATGAAGGGCGCAGAATAATTGAATATACATAACTTTAAGGAGGTGTCAGATGTTTGAATACTTCTGATGACAGTTTAAATTCCACATCTAATGAGTACCAAACACGTTTTTGCATGTTCTTTTTGCAGGTCGGAGCAGAGCGAGGAGTAGCATCAACCATGTGCCATGGAGAGCCTGGGCCTGGGAAGCAGACGCAACAACAGCGGCAACTCCAGCGCAGGTCCTACGACGGGCATCATCACTGCTTCCCCTGTGAATTCCACTGCCAGCAGTGCGGGAGTGGGCGTGCCAGTGGGCGGGGGAGTGGGAGTGGGAGTGGTAGTGGGTGGAGGGCACAGCCATCACCTGGGCAAGGTGCTGGTCCACTCGAAGATGAAGCATCAGCATCCCGCCAATCAGAACTATTACACGCAGCAGCAGACGCAGCTGCAGCGACTCAAGCAGCAGCAGAAGCTCCAGCAACAGCAGCAGCAACAGCAACAGCAACAACTGGAGGGGATTCACGGAGTGGGTATGGGTGTGGGTGTGGCTAAGCACTGCCTGCAGTTCCCGCCGCCACCGGACTACCCGCCGCCAGCAGCAGCAGCGGCAGCGGCAGCAGCAGCCTCCCTAGCGGCGACTGGAGGGCAGGAGCGGAATGGGGGCAGACGACAGCTGCTGCCCCGCTACCCCGATCCCGATCCGGATGCCATCGAGATCTGCAACGAACAGGAGACCTCACCGCATCACCTCAAACAGCTGGCGGCGCGCCAGAGCAAGACTCTCGGCAGGATCCACACCCATACACACACGCACACGCACTCGCACTCGCACCATCAGCAGCAGCAGCAGCAGCATCCGCTGCAGCAGCACCATGTGCACCACGACTACTCCTACGCCTACTACGAGCCGGGGGCCGCCATGCGCCACTCGAACGTGCCCCGGCCGGAGGGAGCGGCGGCAGCCAGCAAGGGAGGAGGAGCTGTAGCCGCTTCAGTGTCAGGATCTGCTGTAACGGCTGGGACCTCCACCTCCTCCTGCTCCTCGTCATCGTCGTCCGGCGAGCCTCCGCCGCCCAACTCCATACGCGCCCTCCTGTCCAAGGGCAAGAAGAACAAGCAGCTCGTCTCCCCGGCCACCCTGCAGTCCTACCAGACGCGCTACCACAAGCTGGCCACCGCATCCCGGCTGGGGCTGGGGCAGAGCGAAAACTTCTACGAGGAGATCAACGCCGCCGCCCTCCAGTCCTCCTCCACAGTCATCTCAAAGCCATCCTCCTCCACCCACCAGCAACAGCAGCAGCAGCAACAGCAGCAGCTGAGGGGCACTGTGGGCTCCCATTCGGCGGGGTCCCTCAATCAGACGCTGGTCGAGGAGGAACTGCGTCGCGTACAGAGTCGCCACCACAAGATCCTGGGCGAGCTGAACCTTAGCGTGGAGGCTATGCTCATGCCGGAGAGTCCGCCCAAAGTGTTGCAACAGCAGCCCAGTGGCGGAGGGGAAACTATTAGCAATCCCCTCGCCGACACTGGCACTCCCTCTGTCTCTGCCTCTGCCTCTGCCTCTGGCACGCCCCCCAAGCCCACTGTCTGCGTGACGGCGGCCAGCGGACAGCCGTCAATGATGCTGGCGCGACTGACCTCCACATCGGCGGACAACATCTGTGATAGCAGCGAGCCCGGCAGCAGCGGAGTGGAGCAGCTGCTGGCAACGCTCAAGACAGCTCCGTCGACGGGGGCGGGCGGGACTGGCCTTGGAACCGCATGCGACCTGGACAGTGGCTTCAGCGGCAGCAGCGGCGCCAGTTATATTGGCAGCCTGCGCCTCACCAAGACGCAGCACATCAAGTGCGCCCGCCAGACGCCTACGGCCGCCGCCTCCACGATGTCCACGTTGGCCACACAGAGCTGTCGGTCCTTCCAGCGGGCGGCCACTGTCTACGATGAAGCGGGCATGGGCATGGGCATGGGAAGCGGCAGTACCTTCCTTACGCGCGCCTCCTGCGGTCGTCGCATCCTCAGCTGCGCCCGGATAAGGGCCGCCGAGGATCCAGGGCCGAATCATCATCTAAATTTAAATCATCGAACGGTGTCGGCGACGGGAACGGGAACGGGTACGGGGGTACATCTGATGCCAGTAACGACGACGGAGTCGAAGGCGCGCAGCTTCTGGAACCGCAAGGGATGGCGCAAGCTGCCCGGATTCTCCACATCCACGTCGAGCATCAACGATGCGGGCCTGCAAGGTGAGTGGAAAACTAAAGATTGAGGGAATTCAAATATAAAAAAAAACCCGCCAATCGGTTAAACACCCTCTAGGTGGCAGGCTAAGCAGCAGCGCCACTTGTAGGCGAGCAGCAGAAGTTGGCCGCTTCGCTCCCGAACTTCCGCTGTCTGCCGCTAGGTGGCGTGAAACTGTATCTTGTTTGCCTCACAGATGTCGCCACTGCTTGATCGAACAGCTATGTTCAGGCTTTTCCCCACAGATGCCGCCAGCTACTTGTACTGGAGCATCGTCCCATTTATCGCACGCTGCCTGCCTGTCTGCCCCCCGGACGGGTCCAATTCAATCTCCGCTGTCCCGCTCTGCCGCAGCGTAGAGCGTTCTTTTATTTTTATCAGCAGCTCACTCGCATCTGTTTGCATGCACAACACAACGAGGCAGGCAACGATCCATGATTTTTGTGGCACATGCTCTGGTGGCTGTGCTGGTGCTGGCTTTGGTTTTGCTCTTGCTTTTCTTTTTGCTTTTGCCCAGTGCTTGGACAAACCCTCGCGTTCGGTTTCTCGATTGTATTTTCGCGCTGCTCGCGTACTCACTGCCTGACTGACTCGAGCTCTGGCTTTGACTCGAGCTCTGGGGCTGCTGCTCCATTCACATTTACGTTCCCGCACTCGATGTGGATGTGGTTTCAGTAGAATCGATCTTGTCGGGCATGCCGCGTGCTTTTTTCTGTGCCATTCCGCTACCCAAGTGATTCGAGGCGCGCTCGCCGGTTCCAAAAAACGCAAAACACAAAAAAACAAAATAAAACTTACTTTCTGTAATAACATTTTTTTTTTTTTTTGGTTTTTGTGCAAGTGCAAGTGGGGTGAAAGAATAATTAATTGTTAAGGCACCTGTGTCCGAGTATCAAGCATATGAGAGTATCTGTGTGTTTGTGCGTGTATCTTTTTGCGTGTGTGCGTTTGATAACTCCACAGAACACACAGAAAGAGAAATTGTAATTGTGGATTCCTTCAGATCCAGATTCAGACTCAAATTCAAATTCAGCTTCAGCTTTGAGGGAGGCGTTGACTTGTACTCGCACTCGCACTCGCACTCGTTCACGTATTGATTTATAAATAATGCCCAAATGATGCCCGAAATGTTGAGTTAATCAGCGACCGATTTGTTTAAAAATTCTATTAAATTATTAATGTGTGTGCGCGTTGTCTTTTCGTCGGGCTATAATTAGCTGTGAGACGAGACAGAACGAGCGGGAAAAAGTGATGCAATTGTTGTCCGGCGGATGATCCATTGATCCATGACTAGAAAGAGAGACATCACAGCAGCGAGAGATGGCATTTCAATTGATTAAGTCCGCTTTGGATCAGCAGCTTACGCAGCAGCAGAAGCAGCAGCAACAGCAATCGCTGAGGCGCCACAGCAATCTGGGTCTGCCCCATCAGCACGCCACAGGAGTTGTCCTTCTAAAATGTGGGTAAACGTATACCAAAACAAAACAAAGCACCTCTACGATTACTACTTCTACTACTACTATTACGTCTACTAAAAAACCTTCCAAAATAAGTGGATGGATGGCGACTTAAATACGGATCGGGGCATTGCAATGCGGCTGGACAGCTGTTGACCAGATGATTCATGATTCCATGCCCCCGCTACATACCTCCCCATATCACCCCCCATAACCATTCCCTGCCAGTCGCCGCAATTTTTGTTGTGTTGCCAAATGTTGCTGAAGCTATTTTTGTGCGTAATTCGCTATTGGTTTGGTTTGGATTGGAATGACTCACTAATAGTATGATTTGTAGTTGTTCTTGACGCCCCGAGACGGGACAAAAATAAACGAATTTCAGTCTATTTATATATTATTTTCTAAGATTAAATCTATAGAAAAAAAGGGCAAAGGTGATGCAAGCAAAATACAGGAAATTAACGAATTTACGAACGTTTAAAGCTCAGTGGATCGGGTTCCTATAACTGGACATCAGCTATGGGTCTAAGGAAGCAATGGTGGTATAGGGGGAGTAGAAGATGTAGAGATATGTACATATATAAATATATAGATAGATAGAGTACCAAAGAAACTTTCATCAGGAATCCAACTTCAATTTCAATCAAAGAATTCTCAGGAATTCCTGTAAAGCAGGAGATGAAGATACATCCACAAAGAAATTCATTTGTGACCAATAAATTATAATAAATTTCAAGAAAAATAATATGAGGGGTTGAGGCCTTGGCTAATACAAAAAGAAAGACTTTTTTCGCAGCTCAAAAACATGAAAGACCTCAAAAAGTTAGCTCTATTTATTTATTTGATTTGCCTAGACCGAGATAGCTGCTGCCAGGGCCTTCGACTATAGAATTATTTAAATGTACTCGTATGTATATTATAAGGCTAGATTATTTAAAATATTTACAGATATTAGATGGAGTTAAAACAAGTATTTAGATGTCGTGGCATATATTGGTTTCTTTTAGGTATTCTGCCACGATTTGTTTGTTTTCTGTGGAGGGATTGCCTAGGTTGTGGAGTTGGAGTGTGTACTATATTTATCAACAATTGCAACACTTGCAGCTCCATTGAAAGCAACAACTTCACAGCACGAGTTCAAGAGCAAGACATCACAGAGCAGCAGCAACATCCACTGACATTGGTTCAGGCAGAGATCCGAGATCCGTACTATGGGGACATTTTAGTACCAGAGTTGGGTCAATGCCCAGTGACACGCACATTCTGTTGCATCTGTGTATATCATATGTATGTCTCTATATAGTATGCGAATATTCTCCATTTCTCGATCATCGACGGAGAGAGAGAGAGAGAGAGAGAGAGAGAGCAGAGCAGATCAGAGCAGCCGCAGCGACGGAGTGCAACAGACTAACTTGAAATAAATTCGAAATAAATGCGTTTACTTACATCTGTCATAGCTCTTTATTGTTGTTGATCTAGTACCTCTCCTCTCCCCTGCTTTTCTCTCTCTCTCTCTCTCTCTCTCTGTCCAAAAATTAATCATCAGGAGGGGGTGGCGCAAGGTTTTCAGTTTCCAATTAAAAAAGGTACTTCAAAGTATTTATACAGATGCCTGGAGAGCACAGCCAAAAAACAGAAAAACAAAAACACATGCAACAAGTCTGTAGTCGCCGAAGAGATACCCTGTATTGAGCGGCACAATTAACAATTAGAGCAATGACATATTGAATGTTTCCCCACCCTTTTGTATCTTCATTTGGACCCCATTTCGAGTGCCATCGCCATAAAAAATATTCGAACAGTTTGAAATTAAATATCATTAAATATTTTCAACGATTACAAGGTATGGAAATACACAAATAATGCCAAATAAATGCCAAATAGTTCTTGGGGCTCGCTCTCTGTTCCTCTTCACTCCTTTCTTCTCCTCAAATTAGTTCCTAGAATCCCATTCAATTATTCATCATACAAAATGCAAAAGAAAAGAGCAAAACAGTAGAGAGAATAAAGAGAGAGAGAGAGACAATTATTATTGCAGTATTTTGCCGCTTTTGTCGCAATTGCTGTTGACTTTTGATGCTGCTGTTGTGGTCCATCATTGATGATTGTTGGGTGTCTGTCGGCTGTGCTGTTGTATCGTTGGTGTATCTTCAAATATGTATGTATGTATGTGTCTGGTGTTGTGTGGTGGCATTGTGGCATTGTGGCATTAGCAGCGCGTGTCTGAGTGCCGCTTTAACTAAGCACTCGTTAATCAATGTCGCCACAGAGTCCCAGTGGCCAGTCCTCGGTGCCAGTCCCCCAACCGCAATTCCAGTCCCAGAGGCAATAAACTCTCTCAAAGCTCGCGATGGTTTGCTAACTCCTTCATCATCTGGGGATCGATAAGTAGAATCAATAGATTTCAAGGGGTTCCAATTTACCCTCAAGTGATGTTCAATTGGTATATTTTTAAAGCGTTCATTCCATCTCAGAGATGATCCTAGCTCGATCCTAATTCGATCACTTTTATCGATGACCTTCCAACCATCGGATATTATGAATATTTAATCGATTGAAAGTTTAATGGATGCTCCAAGTTCCTTCCATTCAGTCTTTGGCTTCTCTAGTGGCACATAGCACGTGATATTTGGATCATTTAAGAACAAATATTAAGTGAAATATTATGATTGGCTGCAATGGATAATCATTAACAATAACAATCATTAATCATTCCTTGGGCATAAAGAAAAGAGGCAAAAGACATATGCCATTACTGGGTGCAAGCTATAAGAATTTCAGGAAGTAATCATTACGAAATGGGAGGGAAAAATACCCTTTTATGGCATTCGAGTACACACTGTACTTTTGGCTGTTAGCCAGGGCTAAGATGAGCCAGTTTGTTGTCCTCCCACTTCCACTTCCACTTCCACAGGCACTGCGTCTCCGTCTCCCCCTACGTTCCTGCATTATAGGCCAACTCTTTAGCCCCCCTTTAGGCCAGAGACACAGACACAGGCAGAGGCAGGGGCAGAGGCACAGGCAGAGACAGAGACAGAGACGTAGAGGGAGCTGAGAGTTTGTCATGTACGACACGAAATTCGTGTAGCCTTTGGTGGATTGGGTTTTTGTTGTTGTTGTTGTTTTTGTTGTTGTTATGTGTCTCTGCTGCTTAGTGAAAGTGTTTAGACTTTGCCTGCATCTAAAAACAAGCAGCGGCAGCAGCAGCCGAAAAACCCAAAGGCAAAAACAAATGTGCTCATTATTTAATTTTTGAAAACAGTATTTACTTGGCATACTTTTTGCTCAGCAGCAGCAGCGGCATCGAACACACCTCGGGATGGGATCGGATGGGATGGTTGGGGATGGGGCATGGGGCATGGGAGTTGCAGGGTGTACACCGCGGCGTATGCGCAACATTAATTAAAATTCAAACCAAAAAAAAAGAGAAGGAACAGCCACAGCAGCGTGGTTTTTTTTTTTGGTGTTGTTGCTGTTTTTTTTTCTGTGCCATTTGTTGGCCAAAATTTGCATAATAACAAACCACAACAGCACCGGGCAGCGAGCAGCCAGCAGCCAGCGAACAATGTAACAACCGACAATCGTCGATCTGAAACTTATCTAAAATTATAACAAACAGTCCCCCAAAACAATGCTCATACGTACTGTTGTACTCACTGCAACAACAACAACAAAAAACCACCCAAAAAAAGTGCCCGAAAAAGTGGCATCGGTTAATTTCCATCGAGATATGGAAACACTTTCGGCTGATTAGGTTTTTTCCTTAGGGTCGGCTACAGACACTCTTTGTGAATGTTTTACGTGTGGGAAATATAACAGAACGGAACAGACAGAGTACAGAAGAATTTCTTGCATTTTTAACGGCAGTACAGTTTTTGGATGGGCCAACCGAGGAGGTGCCCCTTGCTGGGAACCCTATTAAATATCTAAAAATAGAACTGACTGATTCGAAAATCTTCATTCCAATAATATTATTTTTATTTCAAAATATTCTTTCGTATCATATCCCTTGAATAATGGTATTTTTTTTTAAATAGCAATGACTTTCTGTATGACAATGTATCGTTCTTACTCTTCGAATAATGGTGGTATATTTTATTTAAATAAATCTTTTGTACAAATACCAAAAATACTATTAGATTCCAATTGCATTATATTTCTGACTTTTGTATACCTGTATACCTATCGTTCCTTATTGGAAAATACTTCGATCTAACTATAGTTTCGTGGAAATCTTTGGGACATCACTCTCTTAAGCTAGGTTTTCTTGAATCAATTTTGAAGACTCGTTAAACGTTCTGAGCTTGAGTTCGAATGATTTTTGGAAAACATAACCAACTATCGTAAATCGTATTATCGCATCCGTCAACACAAGAGGTGTTCCAAATTAATACCACGCACTCGCTTGGTGTAACGAAACTTAGTGTAACGAAAAGTTTTCTTAATTGCCCGACGCGATACCGCGAATCGTTTCTTCGAGTGCAGACGGCTCTGCTCTCCTCTCAGGCTCGTCGTGTTCAGTTTTTGTGGGTTTGTTCTGCATGGAAAAGTTTTACTGTGTGCGGTCTGTGCTTCGAGTTCGCACTCGGTATTCGGTATTCAGTATTCTGAAAATTCCCCCAAGAGGGCAAGAGCACTGGCGTTTGGCAGTCTCTCTTCTCTGTTTGGAGGAAGGAAGCCAAAAACAAACTTCCAATTTTCAGCATAGTAAAATTCTGTCTAATTAAAATAAGTCCCTTTATTTGAGCGGATTGAAGGGTTTCTGTTTCCCCTAGCCGTTACTTTTATGCAATTAAAGTTTATGTTGTGTCTGCTCATGTATCGAATTGAATATACCCTTGCAAACAGTCGACAAACATTCATAGTCCTTATTCGACTGCTCTACTGAGGAGCGAACATCATAAGCGATGAATAGCTGGATTTTTGCTTCCTGTGCTCAGATATCTATCAGATACATTGTCCTCTTAGCTGTGTCGTACCCATTTCCCATGCAGATTTGCTC